TTCGTGGGGATTTGGAAAGAGATATACGCTTTTATCGCGGTGGAATAGAAAGTAAAGAAGACCCTAGAAAATATCGTGAATTTTTAACAGATCGGGAGAGGCTGGTCGGTGAAGAGTTATTACGTCGCAGTATGGTAAAGAGCGGTTTAAGTACTGCATGGCTCGATGATCTTATGAAAGAATGGGAAAAAACTTATAATCGATTCGTACAAGTTTTTAGCCAGGCCTAGCCAAAAAATAATTAGTTATATTACGGTTTCTATCACAGAAATAAAAAGTATGATTATGTGTAATCGGGGTCAATTATGGAACAAAGGCGGTTAAATATAGTTAACCAAAAGAATGCTATAATCGCTACACGGAGCTAGTAACCTCGAATATGACACTTCTGTTTGCTAATTAGTAATTGCAAACCACAGTTAACCATCAAAATACCATTTAAAAATCATGGCACTTCATGCCTGGAACCTTGCTTTATTATAAAAATAATATACTGTATATATAAAAATAGGCTGTTTTTATTGATAATATCCTATATAATCTCTATATATATTGTTTGAAATCCTAGTATAGGCTAATATAGAAATATAAAATAAATTAGTTTCTATTACATACTTATACTAATTAAAATAATAAAAGAAGAATTTTTAAATTGTAAAAAAAAAAAATTATAGACATCTTTTGTGAGATATATACAGTATTTTTCTGAAATATATATCACCACAGCAAAATTCATTAAGTTTATTTAGGTAGGGCTAAAGTTTTTTTTTAGATTTAGAGTTTAGTAAAATAGATAGTAAAATTGCACAAGGAAGTTTTTTTGTTAGAGTATAAAAGATGGTTTTTTATGCAAATTTTTGAAAAATAAATAACTTTTAAAAAAGCCAACATTTGTTTTGATCTTCATAATCATGTTATGTTATATGAAATTTCAACAGAATTCTAACTCACTATTGAATAATTTGTGAAAGATACGCATCTCCCAGAAGATGCCTAACAACACCCAAAAAAAAAAACCTAAAATTAACATTAAAATCCAAATTAGGTTTAGAATAGAATTTAAACTCGAATAAGGTTTTTTAGAATGCTAAACATTTTTGCTTAATGCACCAAACATGGATATTTAGATTATTTTTTGTTATGTTAACCAGGGGGTAAATTAGCAATATCCCTATCTAAGAAACCCACCCGATTATTAAACCATATAAAAATCTTTTTTTACAAGTTTTCCAAATTTTGACCCGGCCGGTTTATGAAAACCATAATTTTGCATGGCCTAATACGTATACTTATCTGTTATCGTTATTAAACTAATACGTATTAAACTATATAAAGTGCCTCCCTATTATAGTACCTTCCCCCATGATTAGTACCCGGAAAAGTACTATTCAAGAAATTTTTGATGGTTTATTGGATAGTACCCGAGGTACTATAGTCTGTGGCGTATGATAATCGCGTCAAAAGTTATGAGATTATCTAGGGCGTAGGATTGATTTTCCGCAAATTACATGTCGATATTATTTTGAATTATGTACACATAGTAAAAATTATATAGAAAAAAATTTTTATTAGAAAGCAAAAGGTGATTAATTAGACCAATTTTGAGATAAACATCTTTTGTGATAAAAAGAGGAGAGGAAATTTTTTAATGACTTATTATGATTGCACTCACAAAATCCGTGTAACTGTTGTTTTTAAGTTTATCAATACCGATACATACCGATACATTTCGATATTATTAAGGTTAATCAGGAACAATAACTTCGTGATGTTAATCTTTTAGATAAAGTCAAGGGTAACAAAAGTTTTAAATCATTCAGATATAAAGCACAAAAAAGATATAAAAGTAAATGCAGAAAGTGACGGCTTTAAATGTGTATCTGTATTGTTGAGCATTGTGTCACATGATATTGGCGGAGGATTGCGTACGTATTACGCTATATTTGTAATTTGGTCTGCTGACCACATGTATAATTATTTGTTGATAAACTATAAATTTACCCTTTGCTCGGTATGTATCGATATCATCTTTTAACCTTCCTGGAATGACGAAAACACATAACTTTAATAATAACACGTCTTATGAAACATCTTTATGTGACAATAATGTAAACAAATTACAAGCTAGTTGGTTTCGTGACACCATGGCTCGCGAGCAACATAAATTCTGTTCTTCTTTCCTTAAATCTTTGAAAAATCATCCATCGGCTGTTCCTTTTCTCGAACCAGTTGATCCGGCAAAGTATGGGGTCTCTGATTACTTTGATATTATTAAGAAACCTATGGATCTCGGAACAGTCGAAAAAAAACTAAATAACTACGAATACTCTACCGTTCTTGCCTTCGTCCAAGATGTCAGACAAATATTTGCAAATTGTATCATGTATAACGGCAAGGGACATGCATTTTCCGTTTTTGCAAAGGATCTTGACACTTTATTCAACCAGTTGCTTAGTAAAATGCCTGGACTGAAGGAAGAACCAGCAGTTAAGACAGAGCCTTCTAACGTACCTGACTCTAAGATTTGTCTTTCTGGGGAGCCCTTTGCGAGTAAAGCTCCCGTTGAATCAATGAAACGACCAAAGAGGACCATCAAAGCACCTTCTAAAGATCTACCTGAGGCCCCTTCGGTTAAACGTAAAAAGAGTAAATTAAATCAGGAACTTAGTTTTTGTCGTGATGTGATCAGGGAGTTACGTAAAAAAGTTCATTGGGCTTACGCTTATCCTTTTTACGAACCTGTTGACGCAGAAAAATTAGGAGTTCCTGATTAT